AAAAACTCACAAACCACTGGGATATCACACAGGGTAGTGGCTTGGATAGCACATGCCAAGTGTTGGAGTTCAAAATTTTAGGAAAGTGGTACTAGAAAAGCATTACCTCCCTTGGGTTCTCTCAACATAATTGTATGAGTGCTAGTGTCAATGAGAACCCCATGATCGCTCATCCACTTCATGCCTAAGATCACATCTATAGATAATCCGAGCAATACTATCAGATCCATTGTATACTCCCTCTCTTGTATAGAGATGAGTACATCTCTAACCATCTTATTTGTAGAGATAGTAGCCCTAGCTAAACTTATACTATAACCACCCTTGTTTACCTCAATTACTTTCTGATCATGTCTAGATGCAAATGATTGGCTCATAAATGAATGGGTAGCTCCCGAATCAAATAAAACAATGACGGGATGTTTGTTAACAAGAAACATACCAGTGGTGACAACCTCTCCCACGGGAACCTCTTCAATAGCAGTGTAGTGCACATATCTAGGACATGCCTTAGGATTCACCTGCCTCTGATTTCCCTGGTTCTTATTGCTGTTCTTCTTAGGATGGGGGCACTCTTTGGACCAATGGCCCAACTGATTACAGTTGAATCAGGGTTGATTGCACTTGGATCCTATGGAGCTTCCTTGCCCTCCATTCCCCTTGGGTAAGGCAATGATTTACGAAACACCTTTTGAGGTCAGTTGGTCTGAGCTTTTGGTGGAGGAGGCCTGAACTTGGGCACTGGTGGTTGAAACTGTGGTCTAGCTGCCACTAGAGCTCTGGACTGGGAAGACCCTGAGGCACCTGCCTCAGCTGCCCTCTTGCGGCCCTTTGCTGCCGCATGCAGATTGTTGTGGTTCTCCTGAGTCAATGCGTCACTAATGAACTCATTGTAGGTGGTGCACCTTGAGTTGGCCATAGTTTTCATCAACTTAGTGCCAAGGCCTCTCTTGAAGCTTTCGATCTTCTTTTTTTTAGTGTCAACAAAACCTAGGGCATAACGAGACAAATTGTTGAAAGCATGCATATACTCAATAAGGGTCTTGGTCCCTTGTGTGAGCCGCATGAACTCCGTTGCCTTCATGCACATCAGCCCTGGGGGAATGTGATGTCCCCTAAAGGCTAACTTGAATTGCTCCCATGTGACCTGTGCATTGGCAGGTAAAGAGGATAGGAAATGGGTCCACCATATCCCAGCCGGTCCTTACAGCTGATGGGACGCATATTCTGCCTTCTGATGTTTTGTGACCCTTAGTAGATGGAACTTTTGCTCAATAATGTTGAGCCATTCATCCACCTAGAGCGGTTCCTCGGAAACCTTGAAAATAGGAGGCTTGGTGTCCAGGAAATCCTTGAAAGTGCTGTACTGATTCAGCTCAGGCCCCTGTTGCTATTGCCAGGCATGAGCTGTGTTCTGCGCAATGAGGCGTAGGGTTTTCTCCATAGTCCTCTGACTTCCTAGAAATTGTGCAAAGAACTCATTAGCAGACGGTGGTGGCGGTGGTGGTAAGTCACCATCATTGCCCTCTTGGCTGCTACCTGCTCCAGCACGAGTGCGAGTCATCTACAAAGTTGCAACAATAAGTGATTATTGGATGATGTCAAGAGATTGCAGATAAATTGTATAATCATGCCAAACTAAAATTACTAGAGAGAATCTTAAATTCATACAATAAACAGAGGCATAATAATTCATTCTCGCAACATGACATCACCAATTTGATCACTTATCGGGCTCATAGCGCGTTAACATACAAGTCATAATTACCAGTAAGACAAAACTAGAATTTCATTAACGTTCAACCCAACGTGAAATAACATGCAAAGTACCAATATTACATGAAAGTCAACTCACAAATACCAAACTTCCACTACAAGTTCATTACATAAATAGCGGGGATACATCTAGCGCTTCAACAAGTCATTAGGTGACTCTAATCTTCATTATGGTCGCTGTCGAGGTCGGAGATAGGATCATCATCATTCTCTGGCTCCACTTCTTCCTCGTCCCAGCCATCATCTTCTACTAACATTTCTAGATCTTCGTCTTTCTCATCAAGGATCGGGTGCAGTTGGTTGTTTAGATAATGCACCTCTTGCTGAAGATCCATCACTACATGCTGGGCCTGTGCAAGCTGCTGGCGCAAGTCCCTCTCAACATGGTCCTGCATGGCACTCATGGCGTGGGTCCTATCTTGTTTTGCTTCTGCTGAAGCGGCATGGTTGTTTGCTAGGTTTCGCTGGCGCGTAGTTGTGAACACCTCAGCACGGGTGGCCTCCAGCTCCTCCCGCAGTCCTGCTAGCATTGTTTGATCATCTGCTTTTGCTTCTTGGGTGGCAGCTCTCTGTTGATCAACTTGCTCCATTTGGGTGTGGAGATTCTCCAAAGCTACATATGATTGAACAGTTTCCCATCAAGCCTCACTTGTTTGCCTTTTTGTGCTTTGCGCTTTACGCTTCTTGAGCTTACGCCAGTGCGACTTGACCCTCATGAGCTTATCCATGCAAATGGTATAGGACTCCTGCTAGAAGTCCCTAGTGTCCTGACGAGTGTAGAACATCTTCATTACTGCAAACATGATGCTCATAGCAGGACTAGAACTGTCTGCTCGCTCATCCCGATCTCGGATCAGCGCATTGCGATTGTGCTGTGCCCATACTGCTGTGGATGGATCCACCCGAGGAAAAACACCAGCAGCACTACCGGTAAGCTCATCCCCGTGCTACTGACAGATCTGACTCAGTACCTCGAAGGCTACTACTTGGGCAACTTCCCAAGGAGTTCTTCCATCAGATTCTGCTTTCCATTCCTGCCAGAAGGGTGCTTGAGTACGAGCTCGTATGGTTAGCTGCACTTCATACCATGGCTGTCCCTCTAGGTATACTTCATTCCAGTAATAGAGGGGCGGTTCATAATACCCCGCATAGTGCAAGACGCTCCAAAGCAGAGCAGGAGTTCCAAACATCAATAGGAAACTCTCACTTCCAGCCGGTGCTGCTATCTATACCAACAACATATGCAACTCTCATGAGACAAAGTCATAATGGATAACCAACAGCAATAGGGGCCTGAGCTGAATCAGTACAACACTTTCAAAGATTTCCTGGACACCAAGCCTCCTATTTTCAAGGTGGCCGAAGAACCGCTCTAGGCGGATGAATGGCTCAACATTATTGAGCAAAAGTTCTGTCTACTGAGGGTCACAGAACATCAGAAGGCAGAATATGCGTCCCATCAGCTGCAGGGACCGGTCGGGATATGGTGGACCCATTTCCTATCCTCTTTACCTGCCAATGCACAGGTCACATGGGAGCAATTCAAGTTAGCCTTTAGGGGACATCACATTCCCCCAGGGCTGATGTGCATGAAGGCAGCGGAGTTCATGCGGCTCACACAAGGGACCAAGACCCTTATTGAGTATATGCATGCTTTCAACAATTTGTCTCGTTATGCCCTAGGTTTTGTTGACACTAAAAAAAAGAAGATCGAAAGCTTCAAGAGAGGCCTTGGCACTAAGTTGATGAAAACTATGGCCAACTCAAGGTGCACCACCTACAATGAGTTCATTAGTGACGCATTGACTCAGGAGAACCACAACAATCTGCATGCGGCAGCAAAGGGCCGCAAGAGGGCAGCTGAGGCAGGTGCCTCAGGGTCTTCCCAGTCCAGAGCTCTAGTGGCAGCTAGACCACAGTTTCAACCACCAGTGCCCAAGTTCAGGCCTCCTCCACCAAAAGCTCAGACCAACTGACCTCAAAAGGTGTTTCGTAAATCATTGCCTTACCCAAGGGGAATGGAGGGCAAGGAAGCTCCACAGGATCCAAGAGCAATCAACCCTGATTCAACTGTAATCAGTTGGGCCATTGGTCCAAAGAGTGCCCCCATCCTAAGAAGAACAGCAATAAGAACCAGGGAAATCAGAGGCAGGTGAATCCTAAGGCACGTCCTGGATACGTGCACTACACTGTTGTTGAAGAGGTTCCCGCGGGAGAGGTTGTCACCGCTGGTATGTTTCTTGTTAACAAACATCCCGCCATTGTTTTATTTGATTCGGGAGCTTCCCATTCATTTATGAGCTAATCATTTGCATCTAGACATGATCAGAAAGTAATTGAGGTAAACAAGGGTGGTTATAGTATAAGTTCAGCTGGGGCTACTATCTCTACAAATAAGATGGTTAGAGATGTACTCATCTCTATACAAGAGAGGGAGTATACAATGGATCTGATATTATTGCCTGAATTATCTATAGATGTGATCTTAGGCATGAAGTGGATGAACGATCATGGGGTTCTCATTGACACTAGCACTCGTACGATTATGTTGAGAGAACCCAAGGGAGGTAATGCTTTTCTAGTACCACTTTCCCGAAATTTTGAACTCCAACACTTGGCTTGTGCTATCCAAGCCACTACCCTGTGTGATATCCCAGTGGTTTGTGAGTTTCCTAATGTATTTCTGGATGAGTTACCAGGTTTATCACCGGATAGGGATGTGGAATTCAAGATTGAGTTAGTGTCAGGTACGGCACCTATCTCAAGAAGACCCTATAGGATGCCACCAAATGAGCTAGCTGAACTTAAAATTCAGTTACAAGAACTGTTGGACAAAGGTCTCATTCAACCTAGTTCGTCTCTATGGGGATGTCCAGCATTGTTTGTAAAGAAGAAGGACAAGTCCTTGAAAATGTGTGTGGTTTATAGACCACTAACTTCGAATGGACGTGAACTTTGCAAATAATAATAATAATTCAAAATTTGCCTTTCCAGACATGCCTTGTAGGAGCAGGTTGAGATGGGAAACATACAGTCTTAGAAGTTGTGACTATAGTTCTTGATGTGCCGCCACCAAAGCCTGGTTCAATGTATGGACTCACTTCTGTTGATATGGTGTCTGCCACTGATCGAAAGTCTGCAATGGCACTCCAAAGATTAGTTCAAGCTGCTATATTAAGAGCAAAATTTCCAGTTGGTTAATTTTCTCATATTGAGGTTTGGCCATGAAACAACAACAGATTGATGTTTGGTCCTGTAACTATAAGGTTTGGTTTATAGGAGAAAATGCTAATTATACTGCATCTGAGTATACCTGGGAGTCTGCAAAGCCGCTAGGTACCTGGACTAATGATGCTAGATGCTGATAAAATGGTTTGTGCAGCAAGGTCCTGTAATCCTAGACTTGCTAGCGGCTGCAAATGTGTGCATTTAGTGAAGCTGGGAGGCAGGGCCCTTTGCAAAAGGACAATCTCTTTTCTTTATTGTTCAAAAAAAACTTGTCATTATGGGGTGTCATAGTATGACACTAGCTATGACATCTTATTTGATGGTTTCTGTTTTTCTCTCACTGTACTGTTAAGCTTGTAGATCCGCATTGCTGCTGTCCAAGCCATAACTACCATTGCAATAAGGTTTAGTAAACCTTGTAGACTGAAGATATATGAATTTCTTCATGCTTTGGCTCTTGGTGGTGTGCAGTCAATTTTTCAGAATTGCAGCTAAGTAATGGGGAAAATCGAGGTGCCAGTGGTACTGGTATTGGATATGTAATAAACCCAATGCTTAAGGTCCTAGATGAAATGTATAGAGCTCAAGATGATCTTGCCAGGTATATGTGACACTAAAACTTCTCATGGCTGCTGTACAGAAGTCTTGAGGTGGCCTCATTTTTAATTTTTTATATTCTGCCTTGTTTCTGTAGAGACATTCACCAGCATGATAATCGTAAACTGGAATGGAATGACGAGGAACTTAAGAAACTTTATTGAACCCATGGGAGGCATCTCGATTTTGTTTCTTTGTTCTGTTTGTTCTAAGGGCTAAATACTTGTCTCTTGGTCCTACCAAGTATGTACTATTATAATTATTGAGGGAGCAAATCATCTTCTAGTGTATAATTGCTTTTGATCTGCATTATATTTTCGTTGCTGTTGAACTGGCTATGTAGGATGTTGATCTACAGGAGAAGGTTGATGTGATAATATCAGAATGGATGGGCTATATGCTTCTCTGTGAGGTTTTTTGTCGACGCAGTTTCTTTTTATTGCATTTCAATGTGCTCTTACTTTTGCTGCGAAGTGTCCTATTTACTGATTCAAGTCACTTACTAATTTGAACATGATTTCGTGGTCAGGTTAATGAACTCAATTTGATTATCTGTGAACCTGGTGCTGTTTATTTGCATGTTAGATTTTCTTTGGCTTACTGCAAATAAAAAGGTTGTCACTGAAGAAGGGGGTATTGTCAATAATAAGAGAAAATTAATGCAGTTTGGTTTGCCAAGAAATTTATGTTTTTTATTATTTGTTCCAGTTACAACCTTTCATTTGTTTTTACAATCTACATTGCTCAGAACTACGTCCCAAACATAAAAAAAAAGGCGAGAATACTTGATCACCTGGATGACAGTGTTGATGATGTTTGCTGATCGACTGGAGGAACAGATCGTTCACACTTCTTCGCCCACAGTAATAGATGGCGGGGTTTGGAGATCAGGAGGAACAGGTTTGAGGTCAGGACTCCAGCTTGGAGGCGATGGTGGCTTGGGGGATCTGGAGGAACAGGTACATTGCTCAGAACTACGTCCCAAGCATAAAAAAGCGAGAATAATTAGATCACCTGGATGACAGTGTTGATGATGTTTGCTGATTGACAGGAGGAACAGATCGTTCCCGAGGTTAGGACTTCTGCGCCTGCAGCAATAGATGGCGGGGTTTGGTGATCAGGAGGAACAGGTTGAGGTCAGGACTCCGGCGTTGCAGGCGATGGTGGTTTGGGGGATCTGGAGGAACAGCGATGGTGGCTTGTTCTTCTGTGTAGGTGACGGCCGAGAAACAGACGGCATGAGGCGTTGACCGTGGGGTTGATTTTGTAACCCATCCTTTTATCCACGTGTAATTTATTGATGTCCATATGGAACTCGTGCATGCATGGCTAACGCGATTTTCAAATTATAAGCAATTATAATAATATATGCAATATAATTTATGAAAAAGTAAAAAAGAATAATAAAAGCAAAATTAGAAAAAAGAGAGTGATAAACGCCTTACGTACCAAAATAAATCAACGTCCTGAAAATAAAAAAAGGCTTTTGTATGATAATCAGCGGTAGTATTTTCTTTCTGAATTTTGTATGTCCGTAGCAGATTATTATTATTTAATTGTTCTAATCTCATCGCAGATAAATAGTATGTCAGACTAAAAAAGTTCACCTCATGGTCCCGTAGGTGTAGGTAGATAATAATTTCCGCAAGTTCACTCTAGATAGTTGTGATGAACAAAGTTTTTTTTTTGTAGCCTCTTATCTAAGTACAGTTGTAGCATCTGTTCGGATAGAAACACATACCACCACACACACGCACACCCTACACATACACGGTATACGAACAAACCTACAACTATACCTAGACAACGAACGCAGCTGAGAGATACTCGAAGAACGTCATACTTGACCATTGTGGTATATCTGCGTGACAGACAACTGAAATTATAAACGAAGAATAAATCTCCGAGGTGAGGCTGCTAGGTTGAATCCAACCTAGGACCGGCCGCTTGAACCACCGCAAGCAAGCCAACTGAGCTACGGCTCGTCCTCGTGATGAACAAAGTTGTTACACTATGAACTTGATTTCACGTGATCAGATCTAGCGACAAATATACAGCGTGTTTGGATCAGGGAACGGAACCATGCGCGGAGGCATCCAAACCTAAATGCAACTTTTGGTTTGGTGGAGGGCACCAGGTCGTGTTCTCTGCCAGTGTAAAGGAGTCATTTACTTCTTCCTTGAAAACGGTCGGACGTCGTCCGCGAGCGCTATTCCACAATTCAAACATCCCCGGTCATCATCCGAACCTCATAGGAATGATTTCATGCCTGATGCGTTGGTGCCGAACGTGGCCATTCCTCAATCCAAACACGCTGATAATGTTATGAATATCTCGCTCAAAGTATTTTTGGTGATATTATAACACACAGTTAGATTTAAATTGTCATGGTAAATTTTTTTCCGGTGCAAGGGCATTATTATGATGTAATATAAAATATATCGGAGGGGCAAAGTGGTCATTTAACTGAGTAGAATTATTTTATCGTGTATAAATGATTATGTTGAGTTCACAGATTTTTTTGTTTATATAATTGTTGGATCTATGTGTGGTTTTATACACATTTTACAAATTCTCACTTTCTCAGTTTTTTTTTTTGAGCAACCTTTCTCAGTATTTTTTTTTTTTGAAAAGGACCAAATCGCGAAAAATAAAATGTACAGCGTAGAGGCGTTTTTGGGCCTCGGCCCGGTCCACAGCGAGCGCGCGGCCCCGCGCAGCAGGCCCAATGCGTCAAGACGCTTTTGCAAAAAAAAGCCTTTGATTTCTAACGAATCCCGTCCTCCCTGATTCACCATTCATTTCTGTCAGGCGGTAAACACCCCATACTAGTTTCTATTCGTGTTTTCCCCGGTCCCTAGCTTGATCGGAGAACACGCGTGCACAGGGTCCTGGCGGGCGGCCAATCCGGCCGGGGAACGGCACGGTGACGGCAGAGAGACGGCCCCGAGGGGCGCGGGGCTCTCGCGGACCCAGATCTGGCATCATTTTAGTCGGAGGGTGGTTGCGTCCGCCCCGGCCTCGTGCAGCGGCGGCGACGGCCATGGCCGGCCGCGGCGGTGTGGGGCGGCGACGGTGCGGTGGCCCGCAAAATTCGCAGGCGGAAGCAGCGCATACTCGGTGGCGATATATGGCGGCTGCGAGGCCCAGGGGCAGCGGCAATAGCCTGGCGCGGCTGGCCGCTTGGGTGGCCGCGGCGGCCGCGGCACCGGCGGCATTCCGGCGAGGTAGCGGTTCCGCAAGGCAAATGGAGCGGTAGAGGATGGACAGGATCTCACCATGGTTCGTGCGCGGGCGACGATGGGATCGGAGACGACCCGAGCAGTGATGGCCACGGGAGCAGCGGGTATGGCGGCCACGGCGTTCACGACTCACGAGGCGCTCTGGTGGAGCTCAGAGCACGCGGGGATGACGGCGAAATTGGCAGCAGTGTGGGAGTGGATCAAGAAGGGCGGGATGGAGGGTGGCGGCGCAGCGAGCTGGGCGTCGCCGGCACTGGCGTCTGTGCGCGCGCCGTTCGCGATGACCTTGGCACAACCGGGGCGCGCGTGGCGAGCGTGGCAGCGTTCCGCGGACGCGTGGGCGGCACGCGGCAGGCTTGGCGTTTCATCGAGCATGTGGCGGGCGATGTCAGACGAAACCGCAGCTCGTCGCTTGTTTTGATCCGTGGTTTCGTCATATTCTACTTTCATTCGGATCCAGAGGCTGTAACGAAATATCTTCACCGCAGCGTGTTCTACAAGTTTGATTAAAGGCTAAACATTATTAGAGCCATGGTTTTGGATTTAATTAGCCATAAAATTGGGTTAGTCAAGCTGATTTCTGGGTTCCAGGATTAGGTTTTGAAATTCTGTTTTGGCTCTGTTTGAATGTGAATTTCAATGTTCAAGTCAAGTTCAACGCCCCAAACTTTGTTGAGCCGATGTAATAATAAGTTTAAACTACAAACATCATATTTGGTTCACGAGTTATTGTTTATCAAAATCGGAGAACATAGCAGGTCAATATAGCTACATCGGTCTGGTTCTAGACAGAAATATTCTAAGTCTTCCTTTAAGCATGTATTCTGATTCGAACTTTGACCCCTGTATATTGATCACATTTCGGTATAGTTTGACTAAAATTATAGAGAGAATTACAAAGATTTTATGACATCAAATAGGTATACTATAAAAATATAATTAATGAAGAATCTAACTATATTTATTTGGTACCATAAATGTTATTATTTTATTATATAAATTTTGTCAAACTTGAGATATTTTGACTCTTCAAAAAGTTAGAATGACTTATAATTTAGAACGGTGAGAATAATTTCTTAGTTTTGAAAGGAGAGAAGGTAGGAGAAATATCCTTTTTATCCTATTTTAAACCTCTAGCCAATGCCGTGTCCAAGAGCCCTCTGCAACCCCGCCGGTGCACAATTATGATTCCCCTTCATTTTGAGAAAAAGAGGAGCCGGAGCCTACCAAAACTTACCCAAATGGGACCAAAATACTGATGGCAAGTCCCTGTATGCAGATATATTAGACCGGACGAAAAATAGTGCATGTGTCCCACTGGTCCTATCTATGTGACGGGATAGGAAAGCGCTCGGGTGGAATAACAACCAAGTCGCCACTCGGCTATAACTCAGAATAGCAGGAGGGTGCCGGAGGTCCCCACGAGCTGCAGGCGCGGCACACCACCGAGGCTGAGGAGCTGTTGTAAGCTCACCGTGAGCCCTGGAGCCATGCCTTGGGCTACGTCAAGTCCATGGCACTACGCCAAATTCTTCTGGCAAGCAGAACGGAACATTTTTTCGTGAGGCGGGTGGGGTTGGGGCGCCCCTCGGTGGGCGTCCTCGGCCCCAAAGAGCCTAGTCGCCTCTGAGATGTCACTATAGGGGCGGTTTGTAACTGAGCCGCCCTGATTGTTAGGGCTGATCTGTAGGGCGGCTCAATCACCAAACCCTGCGTGAGATGTCAGTTTGTAGGGCGGTTGGTAACCTCACCGCCCCTACAGTTAGGGGTCTGATCTATAGGGGCGGCTCAATCACCACCGCCCTGCAGCAGATGTCACCGAGGCGGCGGTGGTAAACTGAGCCGCCTTCTGATTCTGGTGATCTATAGGGGCGGCTCAATCACCACCGCCCTGCAGTTCTAGAATCGTAAGGGCGGTGAATCACCACCACCCCCTCTCGATGGCGCACGAATAAATGGCAGTCACCCTCTTCTTCCACCTCGGGACACACTCTTCTACACACACAAAAAAGGTTGGGAGGCCTTGGGCTCCTCCTAAAAATTGCTCTACTAAGGGGGGAGGTTTTGATCTCAAATCTTTTGGTGGAGAGGCTCTAAAAGGTAAGGAAATGTGTCTCCAACTCTTTATTTAAGTTTAATTCGTTGATTAGTGAGTAATTTGATTTAGGTTTTCTCTCTCTTCCATGGAGCTTGAGCTAGTTATGAGTGAAATTAGACCCTAATTTTCACTATACTAGGATAAATTAGGTAGGAAAGTAAGGTTGCACCCTTTATTAGTACATCTTTGTTGATTTTAGTGTAGTATTAGTGAAGTTTGATGCATGTGTCATGAAACCCTATATCTAGATCTAGGATTTTGTTTTTTTTTCTTTTTCAATTTTTCCTTTATGTGACTAGGGTTTGCATGTAGGTGAATGTGTAAGATTTTAATTGTTGCTAATGTGCAAAATATTCTCTACCATGGCTACTAATTATCATTAGTGAATGAAATATTAAATGTTGCTAATTATCCTCTACCATGAAATTGGAATGGAGTTTGCATGAAAGGTAGTGAATGAAATATTAAATGTTGCTAATTGTTTTATTTGAAATTGTTTATTTGAACCAATTAATTTATATTTTAAAATATTTATGCATTAATAGTCAATTATTTAACTATCCTCTACTACGATGGTGCGTGTCTCAGGTATATACAATTATTCTCGAGTAATATTCTTTCTTTGGTTATTTTGTTTCTATAAGATGGACTACAGGAACTCTTGGATGTATGGTTCGTTAAGACACGACGCTCTTTTCCGTGATGAGGTGGACAAATTCATCAAAGCCGCAGAGAAGCATGCAGCGACGTTGAAAGAGAATAGCGACACGATTATTTGTCCTGTAAAGATTGCAAGAACCTTATTGCATTTCGAGATGTGAGTACCATCGAAGAACATCTTATTAGAAGAGGATTTGTTCGGACTACACAAAGGTGGATTCATCATGGTGAAACAAAGGGTTGTTGATGACAACGACGATGATCTAGTGATGAAGTCAAACCCAAAGCATACTTGTCCCGATTCACAGACGATCTTGAGCAACAAATGGATCGTGACTATGGTAATCAACAAGGTGGTGGCTTTGGCAATCAACAAGGTGGTGGCTTTGGCAATGAACAAGGTGGTGATGATCTTTGGTGGTGCCGCCAATGATGATGCAAAAACACATGAGGGGATCTGCAGATGACGATGACAACTTGGACGAAAATGCTTGGGGCCTTTGGACCGAAATATTAGAAAAGAGCAAGAGAGGTCTAGAAAATCTTGAGAGGGTGACAAAAGCATCGAAGAAGACGTGTATGATCTTTGAGAAGGGTTGTCCGACATACTTCACACTGCTACGTTTTGTGCTTGAGCTACTCATCCTGAAGGCTAAGTACGGCTGGTCGGACTGCAGTTTCGATGATCTATTGTGCCTCATGTCACGGTTGCTCCCACGGCCAAACACAGTTCCCGCCAACACATACCAAGCGAAGAAGGTTATAAGTCCACTCACATTGGGGGTTGAAAAAATCCATGCATGCCCCAACCACTATATCCTTTTTCGACGTGGCACATCGTTCGAGACTTTAGATACATGTCCTAGGTGTGGGGCTAGTCAATTTTAAGAACAATGACCTTCAAAGTGGGGTGGAAGCCTCCACAGGAAAAAGAGGAAGAAGGGTGGGAAGAAGATGGTGCAAGAATCTCAGCCCCGAGGAAACTCCATTAGGCAACGATACAAATAAGAGAAGAATTCCTGCCTTGGTTATGTGGTACTTGCCAGTGATCGACCGCTTAAGGCGTATGTTCCTAAACCCTAAGGAAGCCGCCTTAGACCGATGACATGGTGGGATGATGAGCGCAAGGTGGATGATGATACGATCGCACACCCGGCGATTGTAGCCGATGTGGCGTTCGATGCCAAGTACAAAGCGAAATTCAAATGATGACCCACGGAATGTATGGTTCAACTTGAGCACCGATGGAATGAATCCTTTCAATGAGAGGATGACCGACCACACAGACATGGCCATCATCTTGACCATGTACAACCTCCCAACGTATTTGTGTCGAAGAGGAAGTACCTTCTCCTCACCATTCTTATCTCCGGCCCCAAACAACCAGGCATTGATATAGACGTGTTCTTGGAGCCTCTGATGCAAGAAATGGAGAGTCTATGGAGGTATGGGGAGCCGATGTACGATGCGTTCCGGCGGGAGAACTTCATATGCAAAGTAATAATATTTGTTACTACCAATGATTACCCCGCGCTGTTTGCCCTGTCTGGACAGTTCAAAGGCAAGACTGGATGCTTAGTCTGTTTGGATGGTACTAAATGGGTGTTCCTAGATGGATCCAGGAAGATAGTTTACATAAGGAACCGGCGCTTCTTAAAGACAGGTCACAAGTATCGCGGCAAATTATACCTAAGATACTATGGCAACATCCCGAAGGATGAACCCCCTCCAGAGAGACGTCATAATGGAGAACATGTGTTTAGAATGGTCCAAAACATACACGTCGTCTATGGAAAGAAGAATCCGGATGGAACGATCAGAGATAGAAGCACACCTCCTATCGAAGGTGTACCATTCAAGAAGCAATCGATCTTCTTTCAGTATCTGCCTTATTGGCCAGACTTGGAGGTCCTCCATGCCATTGATGCGATGCACGTGCAGAAGAATATATTTGAGAGTCTCATGGCTACCTTGATGGAAACGGGCAAGTCAAAGGATGGTCTCGGATCATGGAAAGACATGGTGCGGTGAGCGTGATGCGGGAGCTTTGGACAAGATCTGACGGGGATAATGGCAAGTGATCTTCCGCGGCTAGCTTCAACCTAACCCTAGAAGAGAGGAGAGCTATATGCAATTTCCTTAGGGGGTCGAGTGCCGGTGGGTTTTCAACCCGAACCCGAAGAAGCTAGTGTCGATGAAGGACCTATCATTAACATATCTTGCAAGGCTCACGATTGTCATGTGATCTTGTGGTGTTCCTACCAATTGCAATCGTGGCTATAAAGCCGAGTTCCTAAAGATGTCCATCACCCGCATGTGCTACTTCTTTTTCAAGATCTCACGAGAAGGCGATTCATGAGCAAGAGCCGAGTGACCTACATGAATTCATGGTGGAGACCCGAAACCAATTTAGAGATGTGTTTACCTCCCACTTTTTTTTGATATAATGGTACATCTCATGATTCACCTGGTACATCGGATCGAGTATTTGGGCCTAGCTTCTTGCATGAAATGTGGTCATCTGACGGTTCATGTCGGTTATAAGCCGATACGTGCATAACCGAACACACCCAGAGGGCTCCATGATAGAGGGTTATAATTCCGAAGAAGTCGTCGAGTGCTGCCAAGAGTGGCTAAAAGTACAGAGAGGGATTGGTAATCCCGATTCTCGTCACAAGGGAAGGCTAGCTGGGAAGGGCACAAGTGGTAGAAAAGTGTTAATGATATTGTTCATAAATGTGACACATCTCTC